TGTTGTTCATTCCCCTGGGAGGGGGTTATAGTATATCCTTGTGATCAGTTCCTCATTTCTCCCCCCACCTTCCCCTTCCTCTCCTGGTATCGCTACTCTCATTATTGGTCCTGAGGGGTTTATCTGTCCTGGATTCCCTGTGTTTCCAACTCTTATCTTTACTTGTGTACATGCTCTGGTCTAACCAGATTTGTAAGGTAAAATTGGGATCATGATAGTGGGGTGGGGGTGGGGGGAGCATTAAAGAACTAGAGGAAAGTTGTATGTTTCATCGGTGTTATACTGCACCCTGACTGGCTTGTCTCTTCCTTGTGACCCTTTTGTAAGGGGATGTCCAATTGACTACATATGGGCTTTGGATCGCCATTCTGCACTCCCCCTCATTCACATTGATAGGATTTTTTGTTCTGGGTCTTTGATGCCTGATACGTGATTCCATGGACACCTCATGATCACACAGGCTGATGTGCTTCTTCCATGTGGGCTTTGTTGCTTCTCAGCTAGATGGCCGCTTGTTTGTCTTCAAACCTTTAAGACCCCAGACACTACATCTTTTGATAGCTGGGCACCATCAGCTTTCTTTATTTTTATTTTCATATTTTACGCCATCTGTTGTCTCCCTTCACCCATGTTTCTGTTGTTTATCCCCCTGGGGAGGGGGGTTGTACATCGACCATTGCAATCAGTTCCCTCTTTCTTCCCCTTCTCCCCGCCCCTTCCCCCTATCCTCATTGTACGCTACTCTCATTATTGGTCCTGAGGGGTTTATCTGTCCTGGATTTTGTGTGTCGGGAGCTCTTATCTGTACCTGTGTACATGCTATGGTCTAGCTGGATTTGTAAGGTAGAACTGGGGTCATGAGTTTGGGGAGGAAGCATGAAAGAACTAGAGGAAAGTTGTGTGCTTCATCAGTGCTACACTACACCCTGACTGGCTCCTCTCTTCCTTGTGACCCTTCTGTGAGGGGATGTCTACAGATGGCTTTGGGCTCCATTCCAGTCCAACCAGTTCGCATTGAAGTGGTTGGTTGTTTGGGGTCTTCTGATGCCTGATACCTGATCCCATCGACACCTTGTGATCACATGGGTTGGTGTGCTAGATTATTATTAACTTTTTGCAGGTGTAGAAAGCTCCATCTTGTTCCCAAGGAGTGGCTAGTGATTTCAAACTGCTGACCTCATCGTAGTTAGCAGCAGCGCACTGCGTAACCACTCTCCCACCAGGGCTCCTCCATGAAACCTAAGATATTAAAACCTCCAGATACATGTAAAGGTTTGTCAAAATAAACAGGTGATACTTTGCCATGGACCTAAAATAAGATGACCAGACATCCCGCTTTTGGCGGGACAATCCCGATTTTTGGCGTTTTAAAAGAGTCCCAATTTTT